GTACTACCTCTTGAAACTACTTTTTCGCTTTCGTCGACGACTTTTACTTCGACTCCTGGAATGATTGACATTTTGCCAAACTTCCCTTCGACTGCGTTTTCCACATCCATCATATCCKCCGAAATTCTAAGAGAYTCAGAGCARCCGTAAKACAGAAAAACCTTTGAAGAAGGGRAAATATCATACARYTTTGCTATAATGTCTAGGCTAAAGCGTTGRCCACCCAGACTAAAAACTTGGATGTGACTAAGATTGTATTTCAAGTGCAACTTCTCCGTGTATAGTTTGTGGATTAAGGCAGTGTTAATATRAAACATTGTGCACTTTTCCTTCTCCATAATCTCAAAGACATTTTCGTTGGTTGTTTCAGAGAGAGCCATTTCAGTTGGTACGCATACTGGAATCATATTTGTGCAAAGTGATGAATTACAGAAGATGTATCCMCCTAGCCAGGAAAATGGCCGATCGTTGTATATTTTGTTACATGGCAACTGAGAAAGGGCAGTTTCAGCAAAAACGTTTACCAAGGAATGAATTGTATGTTGAACAACCTTTGGGCTGCCGGTGCTTCCAGATGTGAATATGGCCAGGATAGCATCATCAAACTGAACTTCGTTTTCAGCTTCTTTTAGTTTCTGTGGATCTTGATGCCTCCCAAGTTCCAAAAGGTTCTCATAAGCATGGCAATTTTCGCTAGACAACTCCCCTTCCTCGGAGGTCAACGAAATAAGAATCGGTTTTTCGTTCTTGTTATCGAACTGTGACAGTTGATTGATTCCCTGAAATAATTGCTTCCTCTGAGTTTCCTTCATGTGGGGATCGTATGCAATCATTTTACAATGGAGCCTCTTCAGCAAGTTAACTTTRTCTTGTGTTAGGYTTCCTGGACCAACTAAGATGTTATTAGCACCAATACGGGAAAGTGCCATTGTAAATACCATACATTGGAGGCTCKTTCCGCTTATCATTAAAACATTTTGACCGCGCAGCAAACCCAGCTCGAGTAGAGAAGCTGCCAGGTACATGGAACTGTTGAAAGGGATATTAAACGAGTCGTCAACAATATAAATGGGTCTTCGKTAGATCCTTCTTGTCAATAGGCAGACAGTGTAGGTTTTACGTACTTTTTTTCAATTTTTCAAGGGTGTCTGCACATTGGACATTCGACTGTAATCACAATATATATTTTTGCTTTTGCTTCCCGTATCTATGGTGTGCGTCTATGATCATCATACTGGGATTATAGAGATTGATGAACCTCACCTGTCCCTATACAAAGCGAACGTCATAGTCGATCGATTCTTATCCATGTCATACATGACCACTGCTTCAGTATCTGGACACTGCTCAGCCCTAGCGTCCAACATTTTGTGCCATGGTCGATATTCAAATGGTTTTCTTAGGGGAACATGCTCATAGCTCATCTTAGACATGGTGCTTTTTTGAATTTTCCAAAAATTGACGTCTACAAAAATAGTGAATTAATAAGTTACAAGAAGAACAAGAAGAACAAGAAGAACAAGAAGAACAAGAAGAACAAGAAGAACAAGAAGAACAAGAAGAACAAGAAGAACAAGAAGAACAAGAAGAATGAGAAAAACAAGAAGAATGAGAAAAACAAGAAGAGCCAACGCTTAAATTAAATGTGACGTATATGACACTCTGCTTTCTGTGGTGTGTAGTTGTTGTTTGCAGAGTAATGTGAATAACCTATTATCCGAGAGGTCAGATACGTCGTCAATTGGCCAGCCTCACGAAGGAGAACAAATGGGAATCAACTAAGAATTTTATTCAGTTTTCCAGCAGAAAAAAAAACAAACTTTAAAACAGCAGAGGATTGATATGATAACCTGTGTCTGTCTGCAATACAGTATATGTTTATTGGAGGGAGGGTGTCAAACTTTCCGACTGGAACGGAAAATTTCCGACCAGCCCTAATTAGCACTATAAAACGAAGACAAACCAGGTAAACAAAGCACATAGATGCGATTATTATTGTCTGCAAGTTTGATGTTTTACTAACTRACAATGCATGTGTTTTAAAAGACCTGGAAAAGACCAGTGACGACCAATGACGGTGAAATGAGAATTTGAATCGGCGTGAATTCAACATCAAGAAAATCGAACCTGCCCGAAAATTTTTCCTTTCGTATATATCCAGTCCTAATTTTTCAGAGTAGATTACAAATAATTACYTGTCCTTTTTATTCAATTTTCACGTCATGCATGCAATGAACATATCGACTATATAATGATCGGAATGGGTGTTTTTGAAGTTCTTCTTTCAGTCSTATTCTTTTAGGTCATCATGTTCTTATCCCGTCTTCCGCTAGTATTAGGCCAAGTTCGGCCAAGTTTTAACCAATTCCTTTTTTTTTAATCCAAAAAAGCCTCTGATATGTTTTCGCTCAAATGGGTATCATCTTGTCTAGTTACTAACAGATTTACATGAAATATAGGGTGCCCCTAGTGGCAGGGCCAAAATTCTTTGTTTTAAATCCTCCAAGCAAAAGAGTTAGCCCTGCCACGTAGGGACACCCTATCTCATGTAAACAGAAACATGTTACGGTTTAATGGTCACGTCGAGATGGGGGTTTTCAGGGTATGTCAATCAAACTTCCTAGCGAATTCCGAATTACGAAACTAAAGTATTGCTCAATACACAAATCCCGCAACATCGATCATAGTTCGCATGCAGAGYTCATTGAGATTYACGATATGTCTAATATGCGTGCTRAGCTTGTCAATAAGAGTAACCGCCTGCGAATTGTTAAATTCATAGCTGGTTGTCATTTGTACACGTGAGACCTCATGCATCGATCGGTGAAGGTGCTGTTCCTATTGTCTTGATATTTCTTTGTCAGAAAGTTAGATAGATGTTCAACGTACCGCTGCATGTCATTATAGGTATTTTATGAATCTCGTTATATATGTGTGTTTAAGTTTGTATCTCAATTCACAACTTTTTTGCAACTGCTGGATATATCAAATAAAGTGTCAGATAAATTGTAAAATGATAATGAATTATCGTGAATTTACCTAATGCTAYTACTTGCAATATAAAGCTTCTTCACCAGCTTGCGATACTCCTCTCTCTCTTTGGTCTGTAGACAACTTGAAGCAGTATGCAAAAAAGCGCAGAGGTAGATGAGTCATAGGTCATGCTTCAAGGATATAGACAGCTATTCTCACAGGTAGCCCAAGCTCTACAATAGACGCTTTGAGCTGAAATTTGATGAAAAATAAAKAATGTGGATTTCCTGGKKTTCATATGGACTGAGAAATCGAGATTTTATTCACTGCAACTAGGATTTATTACAAAAAGGGARAAAGGAAATGAAGTCTCATGGAGAAAATAGACATTTGTGAAATGTCTGCCTGTAATTAGCATAAATGTTGATTAGCCTAACAGGAGCGGCGGAGCGTTTTTGGCCCTGAGGGGACTAAGGAGATTAATTAATATTGTGGTCAGATGACAAATCCTTTTTTATTCATCAATCCCTTTTTATTCATTCAAATACTTTTGATGTATGGAAATCTTCACAACAAGCAATTTTTAACTCNTAAATAAAATAAGGTTCACCATGATGGGTTTCCTGTGTTATATGCTGTGGATTCAATCGATATTTGCCGAAAACAACTGACCCATCGCACTAACTTAAAAACCTGGATTCAAGAGGAGAAAAAATTGTAAAAATTATATTGTTTGACGTAGAATTGTACCGATTGCAATAAGTTTTGACTGGGTTTTCGCTTCGAGTACGTGTCAACATGGCGTCTCTGCTAAAAGTAGCTTTCACGGCCTTATAAATAAACTTCAAGCAAATGGACGGTTTCTATTCCGCTTTAGACTTCAAGGTAAGATAATAATGTACAAAGCTTAGCAATGACATACTTAAATCTTAAGTTTATCATATGAATTACAAATCAAACTTTTTAGGCTGTGTCAACCTGCCCGTGAGTATTCATTGTTTTCAAATAATTAGCTTACGTACCGAGACTAAATCACTAATTTCATCGCTAAACCCAACCCAAACCTTACCCTAAACCTAACCTAGAGCTAACCAAGGACTTTTGTTCAGTAATTCTGTATTTTTTTTTTCGCAAACGGACATTTTGACTTCCACTATTTACACGGCAGCCGGGCATGTAAGCTTAAGTTGAGACAGACACTTCGAATTTTATGTCGCCGTTGTTAATTTACATATAACKAAGCTGAAGCTTTTCCTTTTATAAATTTCGATGTCTCTCTGAACTAATAAGCTTATATTTTTATCAATAAACCTTAATCCGCTTAACAGTGATTGGAAGAAAAGCACTGGAATAATTCTGCAAAACTGCAAATCAAGGGCATAAAGAATAATCAAAAGAACAATGTGGATTTCATACTTCTACAAAGGAGCTCAAAACAAAGTTATGATATACCAATTCACTTGTTCTTTCAATACATGAAGGCATTAGGGCCCGCAGTAATTGGCTCACGCTGTTGCGGTGTCCCTGCCCATACTAGGGGCAAAGCTAATAAATTTAAATTTAATTTAATTTAAATTTAAATTTAAATTTAATTTTTCACTAATAACTTACCTTGTTAGTTAATACTATTTTTTTAATCCAATTTAAATGTTGAATTGCATTTTTCCCAATATTGTTCTGATCTTATTKTTMTGWTTTTTT